GTGGGTCGCAGGCCCGCCTACCTTGCAGGAGTGATTGGAAGCTCTGTCCCGCCCTGGGCCACTGGGCCTTTTCTGTCGGTGGTCACCCTTCCCCTACCTGGCAGGCGAGGGGGGTGGGGGGCGGCTCTGCCCCTCAGCAGGCTGCTGGGCCTGCTCTGTGTTTGGTCCCAGTTCTCAAAGTTCTTATGTTGACCTACAAAGTCCTGCAGGGCTTTAAAAAATATTGTTGTTGTTGTTGTTATTATTATTATTATTATTATTATTATTGGGACTGAACCAGGGTCATTCTACCACTGAGATACATCTCTAGTTCTTTTTATTTTATTTCACTATTTGAGGATCTTGCCTAGTAGTTGAGACTGGCCTTGAACTTGTGATCTTCCTGCTTCAGCCTAGCTGGGATTAAGGCATGTGCCACGATGCCCCTGCTAATCCTGCAGGACTTTGCCTCTTCCACTTTATGTCTCAGTCCTACTATTTCCCTCTTGCTTTTATCAGCTCCAAGAATTGGCCTCTTTGTTGCTTCTTAAAAAATGACATGAATGGTCTACACTTGCAGTTCCCTCTGCCAAGAAAGTCTTGTTCCCAATAGCTACACAGTCTGCACTCTTCAGGTCTTTGCTATAATAGCTATTGATTGAAATCTTCCTTAACACTCTTTTTAAAATTTCAGCATTGCCTAGTCATTTCCTTATTCCTCTTTGCTGTTTGTCCACAGCACTTGCCATTATCTGTCAAAATTTTTTTATCTTTCTCCCCCTCACTAGAATTTAAACTCCATAAAACATGGATTTTTATTGGTTTGTTCACCTAACACCTAAAGAGTTCGGATAAATCTTTATTGAATGAAATTTCAGAGTTTGTTTGAAAAGCAAAAAGACATTAAATTACTAAATACACAGTTAACAATAAATTCTACTAGAGCATTATAATTACAGAGAAAGCTATCAAGAAGGAAGAAGTATTATGAGAGTATTAAAAAAAATGTCTAATTTTGTCTGAGAAGGGATCAAGAAAGGCTTCTCTGAGAAGTCAGATGTGTGTGTGTGTGTGTGTGTGTGTGCCCTTAGATCTGTTAGACAAAGAGAAGGAAGATGAGCAATTCAAAGTAATTAAGTTACTTGGGAAATTGGCACATACTGTTTATAATTTAAAATCAAATAAAGAGTAGTGTCTATCTTTGAGGAGTTTTAAATAATAGGAAATCAGCTGCTTTGGACATTCATCTGTCTAAAGCAGGATATAGGATCATGTGACCTCTTGAAGCAATTTTTTAATTGAGTGAGATCACATAAAGATCTCAAAAGAGCTGATAGTAGCAAGAAAAGAAAAGAAGAGCAGCTAAACTCTCATTAAAGATTATGAACATTTGCAATTTATAAGTGTTCAGATTGGATTTCAGGGCCAGGTAAAGATCTTTATGTGTGAGTATTTGTAGCTTATACAAGCACTTTGAGTTGGGAAACAAAATGATAGTCTGAGCCATAAAAAAAGTGTCTTGGGGCAAGGAACTCTGTGTTTTTATATTTTAAAAATCTCTTTCTCAAAATATAGCTAAGCCCTTTATATAACTTGATGTTTTCATATTATAATAAGTGAAGACTATATGTTTATCACACCAATGATGTTTTGTGAAGTGTTATTAGATGGAAAGTCAAGAAATAGCCTTTAAAACTGATTAGGATCATCCAGTCAGCAGTTTAGATTGAGTGTCCAACCAGAAATTGAAACAAATGGTCTGAAAGTGGAATAGAATATTTGAAGCAGAATTTTCTTTTCTTTTCTTTTTTATATAGTGTGTAGCTTTTCAGATAGGATTTTTTTCTCTAAATAATATTTATTTAAATTTCTTACCCGTCTTTTGGGAACATGATATCTCATTTCTTTTGAGCACTGAATAATATTTTATTGTCTAAATGCATCACTGTTTACATATTCACCTACTTAAGGACATTTTGGTAGCTTCCAAGTTTTTGAAATTAGGAATAAAGTTGTTATAAACGCCTTTGTGCTGTTTTGTGCAAATAAAAGGTTTGAATTTATTTAGGTCAATACAAAGAAGCACAATTGCTGAGCCATGTGTAAAAGCATGATTAGTTTCTTAAGAAAGTGCCACATGGCTCCAAAGGTAGCTGAACCATTTTACATTTCAAACATTGATTGAAATTGCTTGTAGCTCCATGTCCTTGCCAGTATTTAACGTTTTGGAGTTTAACCACTTTGGAGTGTATATAGTGGTATATCATTGTTTAAGTTTGCAATTTTTTAATGTGAAACATTTTCTCATTTGCTCATCTGTCATCTGTATGTATCCATATTAAGGCACTTGCTCAGATGTTTGCCCATTTTTTAGGCTGTTTTCTTATTGTTGAGTTTTAAGAGTTCTTATACAGTTTACACAATAGTCCTTATTGAAATACGTTCTTTGCAAATGTTTTCTATCAGTCTGTGGTTTGTCTTCTCTGTTTTCTGATAGTATATTTAAAAAATACTGAATTCTTTTTTTATATATGACAGCAGAATGCATTACAATTCTTATTACACATATAGAGCACAATTTTTCATATCTCTGGTTGTATACAAAGTATATTCACACCAATTCGTGTCTTCATACATGTACTTTGGATAATAATGATCATCAGATTCCACCATCATTTCTAACCCCTCCTCCCTCCCTTCCCTTCCAATCCCTCTGCCCTATCTAGAGTTCATCTATTCCTCCCATGTTCCCTCTCCCTATCCCACTATGAATCAGCCTCCTTATATCAAAGAAAACATTTGGCATTTGTTTTTTTGGGATTGGCTAACTTCAGGTCTTTGCTGTAATAGCTACTGACTGAAAACTTCCTTAACATTCTTTTCAAAATTTCAGCATCCCCTAGTCATTTCCTTATTCTCCTTTGCTGTTTGTCCACAGCACTTGCCATTGAGTAGCATTGAATATTTGGTCATTTTAATACATACCAGTAAAAAATAATATAGGAATCCCTAACCTCAAATATTCTGTTTTCTCATGTGTAAAATGCAAAAATTTATCAGAAGTGTGTATCTTATTTTTAATGTAAATGAATTTGTCCAGTTTCTCCTTATTTTTTTTTTCTCACTTGAGTGTATTGTCTTGCATGTCAGTCAGGAGGAGCTTGGTTATGCTGAGGGAAAAGCCAACTAAAATCTTAGTGTCTTAAAACAGTAGACGTTACATGGTGCTGAATGGCCATCACAGGCTGGCAGGGGGGCTTTGCTGATTAGTCACTTGGGCACTCAGGCTCATAGAAACTCAACCTGGACCTGTGTTTTTCAGTTCCTAATCAGATAGAGGTAATGCAATATGTCACACACTGGAGCTCATAACTTCTAGTCAAAGGTGACATATGTGCACCTAAATTGACCACACCTAATCCAAATGACAAGAAGGCAAAAAAGTCTAATCCTACCATGTGTCTCAGAGAGGGCTTGGAAGATCTGTGAACAGCCAAAATGACTGCACATGTATAGGCAGGCTGAAAATATAACTCATTCTTTGAATGGAAAATAGTTTCTGTTCTTTTTAAATATACAGCCAGAAAGTACTAATTTATAACATTATTATTTTCAAAATTGAATAAAATTAACCTTTTTAAATTAGTTTATATATATCAGGATATAATTATAATATTTCTAATACAGTTTACAAATTTTATTCTCTATTTTTAAGCAAGGAGTTCCTCCACATATAAATACATATAAATAACCTTTATGTAGCTTAAAATTTTAACTGTAGTTTAATGAGTTTTCATTTGTTTTACTTTTCCTTTCCCTTACTCCTCACCTCCAGAAATTTTACCATTGACACTAGCATCCAGAGAAAAATAGTGTGGAATCTGTGTGGAATCATAAAATAATGCATAATATTTTACATTAGAATGAGAGCTGCCTATTTCTTCAAAATGTTATAATCACATGTGGGATCCTGGGAAATGAAAATACTGAAATCATTAAGATGTTTATAATTTTTAAACTACAAGTGGTATTTCCTTGTACAGGTCTTTCATGATGTTGCTTACAAAGCTAAAGATCGCAATGACTTGGTATCAGGGATTGATGAATTTCTGGATCAGGTTACAGTTCTCCCTCCTGGAGAATGGGACCCCAGCATTCGAATAGAGCCTCCCAAGAATGTTCCTTCACAGGTATGTATATTTGAAAACACTCTTTAAAATATCATAATTTTGTTTTCCTTTAAATATATGTCCTAAAATAATATAACCCTTCAGAAAGATTCAAATAGCTGAAGCATGAATTTACAAAAGCTTTCTTGATACTACTCTGCAGAAATTTAGCATTTGGAATGCAAGCCACTAAATCAGTCTCATGCTCCTGGAAAGGGATTTTACATGGGAAGAAAATTAAAATTTTAATGACAACATAAAATATGGCCTGGGATAAAGCTTACTAGAGTCCTTTGGGGTTCTGGATACATTACTTTGAATTTGGCAATTATTAGGAAAATTTCAAGGCATGGCTTAATGATTTTATACAGAAAACTTCCTGTTACTACTAGCCACAGTGAAAATTGGGAAGAATTTTTTAGTGTAATTCTTATATTTGTATTACTTTTATGTAGATTTGTGATATAAAAGTTGTAAAATTTTTGCCTATAAAATTTGAATATGTATTTTATCCATCATACATTCCAGAAAGATATTGCTATTGTTTGGGTCATTTTTTATTATAGGCATGACTGTTGAGAGTGGTAGCCAAATGTTTACAAGTTCCCCTCCTCATATTGCCACCTATTTCCTAGGGGATAAGCCTTTCAAATGACCCCAACAATATCCTTTTTCTCTGCCTTGCCTTTGGTTCTTGCCCTGAGGGAGTCCCGCCTGGTCTGACTTGCTGCTCTGGTTCAAGTGACAGATGGCCTGACTGACACAGTCTTGGGTTAGTCAGAATTGGGCAAATGAGCAGGTGTATCACTCAACAATGAGTATGTATAAAGGTCATCTTGATTTTACTATCAATTTAAAGAAAATATATTAATATTTTATCCCTATATTTTTATTCTGAAGTCATTCTATAATTATTAAAGACTATTCACTTTCCTTTACAATACCATTTTTATGATTTTATAACTGCTATTACATAGTTTCAGTTGTTCTACTACTAAAATAAAAGCAGTTTCTTAAGGAATAATTGTAAGGATTGCCTTTTTCTGTGTTGTATACATCTTCCCACTAATGATTTGGGAAAGGCAAGATTATGCTCTCTGAGTTAATAAAAAAAACTCTTTAATTGATGTCATTTGGATAAATTCGGTGATAATATAAAAGCATGGAAAATGTGACTTTAAAAGTCACTGTAACACCAGTTAGTTACTCAAACATTAAAGTTGAAGTAAAATGTTTTTTTTTAAATACCCTGTTTTTGAGGCAAGTCAAGAATGGGAGGTCTGTACTTTCCATTATTTGTATGAGAAAATACAAATTAATTAGTAAATTCTGAGTATTGAGAGACAAAAGTTCAAAGAACATTGAATTAAGAATCCAGACATCTGGGTTCTGCCATTATTCATTTGTCTGACCTTGAACAAATACTTTATTTTCTGATCTTCTGTTATCAGTGCTGCCCAGAAGAACTTTCTGCAATGATGGAAATGTTCTAAATCTATGCTACGAAATAACTAAGCCATTATTGAGCACTGAAATTGTAGCTCCTGCAACTGAAGAACAGAAATTTTATTTAATTTAACTTAAATTCATATAGACATGTGGTTAGTGGCTAACATATTACACAGCAAAATTCTATATAATGAGTTTGAATCCGAAATACTCTGAATGCTTCATTTCAATGTTAATATTTTCAAAGGCATGTTATGTTTATGTAATAATATGAATCTGTGTTTTCTTCTATTAGATGTAGTAACATGAATGAACATATATTAAGCACCCTGACTTCATACTCATTCAGATAATATTTTCCCTGATGGAAAAAAAAATTCTGTAGTTTTTATTCTTTTGAAATGTGCAAATCACAGCATCTTAAATACTTTTTTCATTCAGTTAAAAGAAGAATAACCTGCCACCTCAAAGAATAACCCTGAAAATATTCATTAGAACTTTGTGTCATTCATTCTAACGATTCCCTTTTATGTACCCAAAACTTTTGTATTTTCTCATGCCACGTACTTGCTTGTCAAAATCACAATCCTGTTAGAATCTTTACTTTGTATCTGTACAATATAGCTGAAGTTGAAGGAAAATGTATAATTGCATTGACAGTTCTTACATTATTTCAAGACCACAACCTCAATAGGACTGTTAATGTTGCAAGTTTATCATACTTGTCTTCTCAAGTCCAATCTTTCTCTTTAGATGATGATTTCACAATTGTTCTCTCCTCAAATCTTCATCATATCTTTCCTGACCCTCACTCTCATAGGTTGACTTGCTTTTTCCTGAGAAATTAAAGAAAACCAAAAAGGATTTTCCAATGACTCCTGCCATCACACTTAACCTGTATGCCAACAGTGGTATCCACATGTGCTGCCATCTTACATATTACTCCTGGGGAACTATTTGAAGCCAGCCTTCTACTTGTGCATTAGATCCTATCTCTTCACATCTACTCAAGGACATTACCATTATCTTTCTCCTGTATATCATGAATTATTTTGTTCTGTGTTACATTTTATTAGCATACAGTATAGTGTTAACTTGCCAATCTTAAAAGAATAACTATTGATACCACTTACCACTACCTCTGCTAGTAAGTTACATTTCTTGTTTATCTTTGCAACAGAATGTCACAGAAGAGTTCTTTGTACCACCTGCCTGAAATTCCTCTCCTCCAAGTCTCTCTCAACATCTACTCCAATAAAACTCTTGCCCCCTGCTGCCCTGACTTCACTTAAATACTTAACATGATGGTCACCAATGATCTCCATAATGCTAAATCCCACGGTCAACTCTCAGTCCACATTTTATTTAACCTATCAACTAATAGTATTTGACAGAGTTGATGATATTTTTTTTCCCTTGGTAGATTTGCTTGACTCCCCAATCATCACACTCTTAGTTTCCTACAATCCCATTGATCACTCCTTCTCAGACCCCTTCTCTGTTTCTTCTTCTGATTTTTTTTTTTATGTTGAAATGACACAAGGCTCAGACTTTAATCATTTTCTCTTTTCTGTTTACATCCTCATGAGGATATCATCTTATCTTAGAGTCTTAAACTTTCCTGAAATTCATTTTCCACCCTGCACTTGAGTGTTATTATCCAACTGCCTATCATGTGACTTTACTTCAGTGTCTTCTATATATCTACAGGTTAACATGTTGAATGTTTGAACTGATTTGTCCATTGTCCTGTTTCTATACCTATATATATATCTTTGCATTTATGATTTTAGAAAAAGACAATATAATGTTTCCCAAAGTATATAAAAACCACTGATATTTTCTCAGAACCTGTTGCATTCACACCTCCCCACCTTGGTTAACTACTAACTACATCCTTAGCATTGATCAGGCTAAAATCATCAATTCTTTTTTTTTTCTTATACCAGACTTCTATTCTGTAAGGAAATTCTATTGCCTTAACATTCAACATTTATCCATAATTATGTTATTTTTCACTACTGCTACTGCTGCAACCCTGGTTCATCCTGCTATCATCTCCTGGATTACTGAAATAACCTCCTAACTGGTTGGCTCATTGTTTCATCCCTGGGCTTCTAGAATCTGTTCTTGATATAGCAGCCAAAGTAACTTAAGTTCTGTTATGCCACTCCTTTCCTCAAATGTTCATTTCACTGAGAATAAGAGCCAGACCCTTACAATGGACAATAATATACACTATCTGGCTTCTCTTTACATCTGAAATGTCTTTCTGCCATTTTTTTTTTCTTTCTCATTTCTCTCAACCAACAAGATCTCCTTGCTCCTGTTCTTCAAGCTCTCCAGCCACTCTCCCCATTATGAGTGCCCCACTGGCTATTCTTTTTATCTGGATATCTCCTGGCTAATGCCCTTATCTCCTTCAAGTTCTTCACAAATGAGCCTTTGTCACCAAGCCTGCCTGACCCCTCTACTTATTATAGCCAGACTTTCACCTACCCACCACATACCCCAGATTCCCCCAACTCTGCCCTATATGTTTCTTCTTCCGTAGCTCTTGCTTTCTAACACACAGTAGAATTAATTTACTCATTTATTTTTTTGTCTGCCTTTCCATAAGAATATAAGCTCCATAGACCCAATTTGTCCACTGGTATATTCCAAGGGCCTAGTATATTTTTGAAATATCAAAATACTTCTGTTTCAGATCATTTAACATTTTCTATATTTCCTTCAGAATAAGTATTGGTATTATTCATACACATTACATTTTTTTCAAATGCCATTTTCCTTTCTCTTTGAGGAAACATGTACTTTAGAATGGTTAATATCTTTCATGATTTATCATTTATTTTCATCAATGTATGGCTTTTTAAAAACTGTAAAACGATGATTTAACTTATCCAGAAGGGATAGTTTTCCCAGAAGACCAAATATTATCACTTGCTTTCTAATACTGGTGGGTGCTATGAAAAATTTCCCTAGGTAATTAGGAAGTAGATCTTGAGGACCACTTTTACATCCCTTTGTTCTGTATTATATCTTTTTTAATTACCATATAACATACTATCAACTTGCTAATCTAAATGTATCCTATTTACCTGTGAAGACATTTTCATCAGTTGATAGATATTTTATATTCATACTTTAGTCTCATTGTATCTATTCACATGCCCAGGGAAAATGTAAAAACATTAAGCAATGAACTGTTCTCTATTGTGCTCATTACAAAAATCTGTTTTTCTCATGTTTTAAACATGAACCATTCTAAATTTCCCATTGTGCATAGACCAGTTGATAAGTCACTTTTGTGCTTCACATTTACACTATTTTGGAATGGCATTCAAGTACAATTTTTAATTGTACCACTTAATTTTTTTAAACTATCTTTTCAAGTGCTTTTGAACTCATTGGTGTACTGTACATGGTGGGATTATGTATAGGGCTTTCCAGTTTTTTTTTTTTTTAACTTCTCTCCCTGATAAAGGTGGGTGGAATAAATCTAAGGGAAAATAACACATAAACTTCCATTAATTTGTCATTGGTTCAATTAGATGCTTTCTTTTATAATAATGTTTGGGTATATGAATCAGAAAGCCTTATCAATTATTCCTTGGGTACAAAGATATTAGCTGGAATTAAGGAGGGAAATACAATTTAAAATTAACAGATAGTAGTGTTTATTGAACAAACTATGCCATGCATAGAACACCACCATGCCTAACACCTTCTTACTCTAGCCTACCCCATCAACCCGTCTTTCTCTTTTTCCAGTATTTCACTTTTCTTTGTAGCTCCTATATTTACCTCATGTTACAAGTTTATTGTATACCCATCAATAGAATGCTTTTTATTTTAGTTTTTTCCTTCATCTGCCTCCTCTACCTCTGCCTCCTTCTTTTCTTTCTTTCTCTTTTATGGTCTGGGGATCAAACCCAGGAAAATGGGCATGCTAGGTGAGTGTTTTACCCCTGAGCTATATCCATAGCTCTTAGGATGTCTTTTCTTGCTTACCTTTGCAACTCTAGCGTTAATAACAATTAATGACACACATTAGGCACAGAATATACATTAATGGAAAGAATAAATAAATAAATGCCCATTACCTAATTTAATTCTCTCAGTGATACTGTAAGATAGGTATTATTGTTACCACCAATAAATAGAGGAGGGAACTAAATCTTTAGGAGGCTAGATAACTTCTCAGAGGTCAAGCAGACTATAAGTCATACAACCTGTGTTCTTAGCCACTCTGCTTATTGCTTCAAGAAAAAAAAAATACTGTTATTTGCAATTAACCTGGAATTAAAACAAAACAAAACAAAAACTTCCTGCAGGAAAAGAGGAAGATTCCTGCTGTACCAAATGGAACAGCAGCTCATGGGGAACCTGAGCCTCACGGGGGACATAGTGGACCTGAACTCCAGCGAACTGGAAGGTGAGTGAAAATCACTTATATGGGACTTCAAGGAGCAAATGACATATCATTCTTGTCTGTCAGGAATTGTTATTTTGAGATCTAATTTATTTCATACTTTTAGTACTATTTGGGGGTGAAAATGTCAATTATTTGATTTCTCTGAAGTTACTAATGATTATCATTAGTGTTAAATCAGAACAATGGATACACCATCTCATTTTATCTTACCTAATCTTTCATTTTGCTGTGCATATGCATTCACAGATCCTGTGAATGAATAAGAAAACTGTCAATTGACTCTTCCAAAAGAGCTTGTTGAAAGCTTCAAGTTCAAGATGGAAATAAAACTAAATACCAATAATTCAGTCTTGTAGACCTTATCTCATTAAATGCAAGCAGGATGTATATAATGGTACTTGTTATTTTTATGGCTGTGATTTGAAAGAGCTATATGATTTATTTTTCTAATCACACATCTTTGAAGAGATGAAAGCTTCAATTTATTTCATAAAATGGTGCTTTATGTTTTTTTGACAGCTTGTCTCTCTCCAAGCAATGTGTGAGCAGAAAATCAGAAACCCTTGGGTGGGTCTGTCTTCAGGGAATTTGTGTGTACAGCCTCCACTATAATTAAAGGCAATTGCAAAGGCCCCACAGGACTGGTGCCCCCGCCCCTCAAGGCCATTTTCTGTACTGCTTGCAATGTGTCCTCTAAGCTGGCTTTCCAGTTCCTGACGACTCTGTGCATCTTAATTCTCCTGTGTTCTTTCCCTTCATCTATGTTTTGTCTCTGAGGAAATGTCCTTTAACATCTTCCTTAGGCTCGATACCTAATTTGAGATGGTTTAATATTTTTTCTTTCTCCCGTCAGTGGAAGCTTTGTAACTCATTCTGTTCACTTTCATACTTTCAAATCCAGTCCTTTTATTTTTGGTGGTTTTTTTTCTTTCTCTCTCAGGTGTAACATACCACTTAGCTTAGATTTTTTTCGAGTTCACTTTTCCTTACTGCTTCCTAAATCCTCCCAGGTCACCAATATCCGGTATCTTCGCTTCTCCAGAGTTCTTCCACAGATTCTGTTGCTGACATGACTTGAAGTATCCATTACTCATCTGCTCTCCTGGAGTTGCTGGTGTACATCTGGGCTGCTCTTGCACTGTTCTCTGTAATGAATTCCCACTTCCGGATTTAGATTTTTTAATGCTAAAAGCACATTTATTACAGTTATTTAATAGCTAGTCAGACTAATGTATGCTCTAATAAGTAATTAATTAGAAGCCAATGGTATATATAAATAGCTATAAATAATATCAAATAGCTATATATTAATTACTAATTAATAGCTTATAACCACCTCAAATTCTTTTTTGGGATTAGGTAGCATATAAATCATAAATGAATGCATAGTCTAGTAGAGTAACGCTGTTTGAACTGTGACTTAACAAAGTATTCAGAAATTTTTAAAAATTACTCAATATTAAATATGCATATATTTTGACAAACACAGGCAGAGGAACCTAAGGTGAGCTTTTTATGTGTATAAATTTCACAGACAAGCTTCTCTGAGTTTCTAATGTCCTTTTTTTTTCCCCAGTTAAAACTTTATTCTTTTCAACCCTTTCCTGATGGAAGAAATCACTAGGAAAGCAGTGATTCTGTGCTCAAATAATCATAAAATAGTTATTAATTGAAACTATTTGTTTACATCAGGTCAAGGAAGTTAGAGAAAATAGTCAAATTTTCAGTAATTCTGAATATATACATATTCCAAGGCCAACTAGAATTTACTTCTCAAGAGAACAATTACGTTTGAGATGATTCTAAGACTGCCAAATGAATAATCCTATTCATAAAATGAATAACAAAAGTTTGACATTTTTGTATGATCCAAGTATATTTAGAATACTGACATAACTTTGGAAAATAATGAGGTTTTTCACCATAAATTTTCATGTGGGAACTTCAATGTGGTTTTACTCAGTTTACTATCACATCTTTATTCCATGAAGCACACAGATCTTTCAGCAGTCAATGTTAAGTCTGAATATCATTATTAAATTTCAAAGAATTAAAATACCTAACATTAATGTTTATTAGTGTTCTCATTCCTAATAGAGTAAAAAAAATAGTTCTCAAACTTTAAGCATCATTTCATAATTTAATAGTCCCTTGCCAAAATTTTTTTTTATTAAGTGTTCCAGTGTGGGTTTGGGGTATATTTGTATGGAATTATACCTACTGGGATCTTGATAGATGTTGGGGTATGTTCAGGCAGTAGTGGATCAAAATTACATTTATCCAGTTCAGTTATTATCAGTTTGTTCTTTAGTTTCCTAAAAATACCAACAACCCTTGAATCTATCTGTCTCTACTAAGTATTGCTGTTATGCACAACACAAGGCCATTTAGATGTCTGTTTGGACATTATGTGGTGAGGGGTGAGGAATTTTTTTTTTGTTTTCTCCCAGAGAGACTAGGTAAGTGAAGCCATGGTAAAGCACTGCATTTTTTTCTCTAAGGTGATGTTCAGTATTGGTGTGTACAAAAATCAGTTAACCCTCCCTCCCTTCACTTCTGTTATGCTAAATGGAATGTAAGCAATTACAAAATACTGCCAATGATTGAGAGTGGTAGGCCTGAGTTTAGAATGGTGTAGGTTGATATAGAAATGGCACAGAGAGTAGAGTAACCCTTGAATCCCAATATTTGAATGTTGATTGATGAATAGCCTTGAAAGAGTCTTGGAGTTTTAGTTTTTGACACAATATTTGGTTAAGAATTGAGATAACATAGTGGTACAAAGCCATCCCTATAGATCATGATAACATAATGTAGCAGGTTATTGTGGGTCTCAACTCTGCTGATGGAAAACGTATACTGTGGCCTGGCAACAAAGCAAGTGAGCACTTCTATATATATTTTTTTTTTATATTTGGGTTTCACTATTGTGTTTCCCCCCATGTCCTAGGATTTTTGGGGGACTTATCTTAGATATCAAAAGAAAAGCTCCATTCTTCTGGAGTGACTTCAGAGATGCTTTCAGCCTGCAGTGCTTAGCATCTTTTCTGTTTCTCTACTGCGCCTGTATGTCTCCTGTCATCACATTTGGAGGACTGCTGGGAGAAGCAACTGAAGGTCGTATAGTATGTATTATCTTTTCTCTGAACTTTGAAACTGATTTGTTTGTAAGATTAATAGTAAGATAAGTGAGCCTTTAATATTGGATTCTGTTATAAGGAGAGATTTAATGTGTGGTGTGACCTATAAAACTCATGTATGACTTTTCTGGACAAGTAGTGGGGAACTGGTAAACTAGGAATGGTGTATCTCAGAATAACTAATTCTGAGTCCTACATGAGATTTCTGACTGATCCCTTGATCCCTGTCCCTGGTACCAGGCCAGTTTTAGGCTCTGGTTCTTACCTCACAAGTCCATTTCTAAAATATCTGAGCCATGTTTCTGTCTAGACACTATTTCTAAATATGTTCAAACTTTCTGTGAGGTAAGAGACAAGTGAGGCAGGAAGGTAGAGAGGACACTTCCCATTTGTTACCATTCATTTTTGCCCCTCTTGGCTCATTCCCCTGCTCCTATTCTATCTTCTGCCCAGAGTTGCCAGGCTTTGCATAGTGAAGAAAAAAAGAATGAACCTGTATATTTTAAACATTTCTTAACTAGTTTCAATGGCCACCTGTACAGTTTAGGTAATGGAAACATTTATATCTTTACACAGAGTGCAATCGAATCTCTCTTTGGAGCATCCATGACCGGGATAGCCTATTCTCTCTTTGGTGGACAACCTCTTACCATATTAGGCAGTACAGGACCAGTTTTGGTGTTTGAAAAGATTTTGTTTAAATTTTGCAAGTAAGTGTTACATACTCTGGCCCTCAGTCCCTCTCTTTTTCTTTACTGTGTTTATGCTTCTCCTAACATCAATTTTGAAGGTCTGTTGAGAAAGTTGGAAGCAGCTGAGTTGATCCAGTTTGTCATTTCTGTCTCAGTGGAAACAGAAAGTCAAAGGCTTATGCATATTGTTATATAATGTTAATAAAAACTAAGATTCAGTTCTAAGCACTGAGGAACCTCTTTTAGTTTTGTCCCTGAGTTGTTCCCTTTAGACAAAGTCTTGAATTTCATTACTGGGGATATGAAGCTTATTGAATTAGGCTTATTTCTACTTATTTTATATGGTGGCAGGCTGTAAAATGACCTTCTTCCCACTATTATTTCCTTTTGTTCCTCCTAGAGAATATGGGCTATCATACTTATCTTTAAGAGCCAGTATTGGACTTTGGACTGCAACATTATGTATCATACTTGTGGCCACTGATGCCAGTTCCCTCGTCTGCTATATCACCCGGTTTACTGAAGAAGCTTTTGCTTCTCTGATTTGTATCATTTTCATTTATGAGGCTCTGGAGAAGCTGTTTGAACTCGGTGAAGCATATCCAATCAACATGCATAATGATTTGGAACTGCTGACACAATATGCGTAAGTACCATTTGCCCTGTTGTCTGTGGAACTTTTCTTTTCACAAATATTGTCATTGTTATAAGAAATATGAGGAACTTACTCAGCAGAAGCTATGCCTTAAATTGATTCATGACCTACATCCTGGACTTTCAGAGTTGAATAGGATTCTAAAAGTCAATTAATTAGTCACTCATCTAATTATTGAGTTTATTATACCAGTTCTGCCAAGAATATCTTCCAAAATTTCTATTTCTCAAGTAGTCCCTAAAATAAGTAGATAAGAAAACAAGTCAATTTTAATTTACATTGATTTTGACTTTGGAAAATATGTGTTATTTTGGTTTTCTTTTAAGTTCTTTTCAATGTATTATAACATAGTAATGAAAATCTAAGATTTCAGACATAAAGCAATGAGGTAAAAGAAACTCACTGAATTTGTGTTAGGTTGATGTTTGAAAATATGATAAAAATGTAAGTGAAAATCACTGAAATGAAATATTGCAGTATATGGCATTCATGGTAGAAATACTCCGGAATTTCTCACTGAATTATATTATCGTTGAGGATTAAAGATGAGATTGCACCTATTGCTCTTTCTAGTTTTGTTATACCAGCAATTGGAAATTTCTCAGGTTGTTCCTGTAGAGTATATGTGGCCATTAAATAACTCTTTCATTTAATTCTAGAATTTTCGATTGCATTTATATATAGATTTGTATACAGCAAGTATTTGAAGCAATATATTCTTTCTGAGACACTTATAACTTCTGCATCAATCACCAGGGTTTATCCTTTGAACTGCTTAAATGTGGCCTCAAGCTTCTTGAGTCTTTATTTACTACTAGTTGTTGAATGTTATAATTTTGTTAAGAATGATCTAATGATACATTTATCTAATGATACAGTGTTGAAAATAAAACGGTTCTTTAACTTTTTCTTGGTTTTTAGAGATAGATTAAACAATGCATGCATCCCTATTTTTAGACAAGAACCTAAGGGGTAATGTAAAATAACTTTCCAATAAAAATATATAAAATAGTATGAATAGTATTAAGAAGGGAATAAGAGTAGGACACTCAGAAAGAGGCAGATTGTAAGAGCAATTAACCAGAACCAGGGATAAATTTGATACATGCCTTTTCATTTATCTTTACTTAAAAAGAGAGAAGTATACCTGATTTTAGTTATCTTTGTTGGGATATACAATTCTTTCTGGTAGGATTTTTTTCAAACTGATACATGGCAGGTACTATGCTAGGTGCTGGGGAAATCATGAAAAAAGATATTCTGTCCTGCAGGAGTTTCCAGTTTACAAGGCACCAGAGACAGATAACATGATGAGATGAGTGCTGTGTGAAGACATTGCCAAGGTACTACCTCAGAAGAGTATCTCACCCAGATTTGGGGTTCAGAAAAGCCTTTCTAGAGGAAGTCCATAGAATAACAAAATCAATAGGGGTTAGAAAGAGCTGAGGAATAGGGCAAGAAAGTGGTTCAGACAGAGGGCATGAATGTTCGAGATTCACTGAAGCTTTGAAATATTTGTCTGAAGTCAGATGGATAGTGGTAAAACACAAAACAAAATCCAGGTTTTATTACTTTGACATAATTTAGTACACCAATCCTAAAAATGAACAAATTAGCACTCCAAAAGAAATGATGTAGAACAAATAAAATAGGTAAAAGCAGAATGGTTTTATTTGAAGAGGTGGGAAGGCACCAATTACCCACCCTTCTGGATGTTCTGTCAGCCTCAGTGGCAGCTTTTCAGGGACTTCAGACTGAGGGGCCAGTTTGATATCCCCTTACCTAGAAAAGAGGAAGTTTAGAAAAGAAGAATTGAACCCTGGATAATGTTCACAGCTTGAGGGAAGAAGAATGAAAAAAATTGTAAATCAATAGATGAAAAAAAAAAATAAGAAGAAGTATCAGAGGTGTCAGTTAAAGAGAAAACCACAGGGTGAGGTCAGGTTTTTATCCTGTGACTCCTTGCTTCTGATTAAGAATGATGTCACACATGTGTCATTAGCAATTCATGTTCTGGACTGGACAGATTTTCATATTGTGTACATGCATTTGATCAGGAATTGCCATTACTTGCTTTCTGGAAAAGCAAAACCAATCTTTTTATTTTGTTATGTATACATATATTTATTAGCATACTTTTAGTTATGTGCATTAAATAAAATACAAAAGTCATTGCTCATAACACCATTTTAATGTATTGCATACTTGCACAAAACATTTAATGTTTCATGAAGTTCCTATGACACTTGTAGTTGCTTGCTTGTTCTGACCTTTTCATATTAATAAATTTTAAGTGTCATTATCTTAATGCCTATCTAAAGTTTCTGCTTCAGATGTTGTTGGACTCATGCTTTCACAAATTTTATTAGAAAAAAAATTTTAGAAAATGTTATAGCCTGGACATACTGTATCTGAGATTGCAATTTTTGTAAATTGAATATACCTATAATTGTATATATAAGCTATTATATGTCATATATTTTATTGAGGTGTAAGATATTGGGGAAAAAGCCATCATGTTCAGGATCTTCATTTCAGATATTCTTTGTAAATGGGCCTGCTATATGCAGATTTCCTTAAATTCATAGTTTACCAATCAAATAACAAAATGTTTTTGATTTGTAAAAAAAAAATACTTTTCTAGTTCCGCTGGCATCTTAACCTCATAATGTGGTAATATGTAGACCTTACATTTGAAGATGCACACTTTCCTTTCATTGTGCCAAAAGCAAGTGTCAAGACAATCTATTTAGTTTTGAGAATATATATATTATACCAGACGATCAAACTGAATATGTCAAGTTAGAAATAAGTAATGAGTTTAAGCGAATAATTTTTCTTCTTTGCTTTGATTTTTTTCAGAAATGGCAAAAATAGAATAAAATGTTCTGCTTGTGTAAGATGAAATGTTCCTTCAGTGTATAATAATAATCTAAAGTTCTCAAATATGGCTAGTTAAAGAAAGATTAAGGATATACGGATGTTTTGCAAATGGTTGGGTCAAAGCAAAGTGCAAGGTCTATTACTCTAATTTCCATATACATGTAGATTGGAGTTAAATAAAATATAACAATTATCAAGATGTCAAAGGAGTGATCTCACTACTATGTGATGTGCTATTTTTTTTCCTCTCTTATTTTCTCTAATACTTTATTCAGCCCTCTACATAATCCAGGATAGTGATCTGTTTTGAATAAATGATGATATTTAATATCCTTTTTCTCATCTCCAAGTAGACTTGAGTCTCCTGTAAAGTACAAAACATGTAACAATTTTATCCCCCATAGTACTAGCATAATACTATTGATGCTTAATACATATTTATTAACTAATCATGTTGCAAAATAATTGACATAACCTGGCCTGTCTTGTTGGACAAGTAAAGACAATTGTGCTAGTTCACATTATCTTTAGTATTATCATAAAGATTTCATCCAGAAACTTTGAATAAATTTGACAGATTATGAAATTCTTAATATGAAATAAAGATGTATAAACCTATATCAGAAAGTTAGTTCTGACTGAAAATTTGGACAAGGTGCCAATATGATGAACCCAGAACCCAGTGAAGCAGGACTAAAATTTGCAGTACTTCAAAAACTGATCAGGGATCGGGGAGAAAGAACATGAAAGAGAAGTTTTTATGGCTCATGGACCTTTTAGGACTTGAAAAATAAAAGGTAAAAAAATAAAGCATAAAGTACATTTAGGGTAACCTCTGCACTTCAACTTTCTAAAATCACATTTTTAGATGTATATCAACTAAATTAATTCAGAATTGTTTGCAGCATAATTTGTAATTATATCTTTATGTGTTTGAATAATGCCTATGTGCCTCCACTAGTTTGATCCCCTTAATGGCAGGCCCAGGACTACTATGTGCACCTTTGCGTTCTCTACCTGCAAAACAATTAGCACATATGATATGAGCATGTTTGTTCATGTTTTTACATTTCTGAACATGCTTCTTAAGCTTGATATGCATATTGACATAAAGTTTTTCCCCTCCAAAAAAGCTAAATTTAAGAAGGTTGATTATCTGATGCCTTAAAATCAAATAAATAAGTACACTGAGTAAACAAACCTCTCACAACCAACTTCATTCTTGATAGAACTTCAGGACTTCTTGCTCCTATCTAATTATGATTTTAGTACACATTAATCAACATTTTGCCATCTCCCCACCACCCATACACACTCTACCTAGCCTCTGGTAACACTATTCTACTCTCCACTTCAATGACATCAACTGTTTCAGACTCTACATAAGAGTTAGATCAAGCAGTACTTGTCTCTTTCTATGCCTGGTTTATTTTACTTAACATAATGACCTTTAGTTCTATTCCTGTTGTCACAAAGAACTTTCTCTTTCATGGCTGAACAATATTCTATTGTATATACATATCACATTTTCTTTATCTATTCATTAGTTTATGGACACTTAAGTTGTCTTCATGTCTTGGCTCTTGTGATTCATGTTGTAATAATCATGGCAGTGCGGATGTCTTTTAGACAGACTGGTTTTATTTCTTTTGGATACATACCCAGTAGTGAGATTGCTGGATCATATGGTACTTGTGTTTTTGATTTTTCAAAGAACCTGCATATTGTTTTCTACAACATTTGTACTAATTTACCCTCTCATTTACTGTATGAAAGGGTTCCATTTTCTCCACATCAACTATTATTTTTAGTTTTTTTGATAATAGCCATTCTTACTGGGGTGAGATTACATCTCATTTTGGTTTTGTTTTGCATTTCCCTGATGATTTTTTACTGCTAAGCATTTTTCTTGTATCTATTCACATTTGTATTGTTTTCTTTGGGGGAAAAAACATCTATTTAGATCTATTGTGCATTTTTCATTGGATTATGTGTTTGTTTCGCTATTGAGTTGTTTGAGTTCTTTACATATCCTGGTATTAACATCTTGTCAGATGGGTAGTTTGCAAACATTTTTTCCAATTCTATAGATTGTCTCTTCACTCTGT